GTATTAGAAAAGAACTCGAGCCTCTTGGATGATATCATTTCAGCTTCGGATGGAACGCGAATAAAGAGAGCTTGAATATGGTTCACGAGGTAGACTCTTGCACTGAGTCTACTCTAACAGCTGTCTTTTGTTGTCGCTGTTTTGTTTTGTTTTTTAAGAAGTCCCATTGCACGCGGAAGGGTCTGAACTAACTCAAATTCTGAAATATCCAAGGGGATCATTGTGTAACGAACTAAGCATTATTGTTTCTAGGTCTCGCTCTCGTTCACCGCGCAGGAAGCCACGTCGATCTCCATCTCCTCGCCGCCGATCACGCTCAGCGTCAGCGTCATCACGGTCACGTTCTGCAAGTTTCAGCTCACGATCGTCACGCTCACGCTCAAAATCACCTCGAGCCGACACAACACGAACAGAGAAAATGGAAAAGGGTAAAGAAAAGGAAAAGGAGGTTGAGAAGGAAAAAGAAGAACAGCAAGAAGACGATAAAGTTAAATCAAAGGAAAAGTCGGCCAGTCCGGAAAAAGCGAAATCAAAGGGTACTCCCAGCCCTCCACCGACGCATCATCGATCATCCTACAAAAAGCAGGAACAGCCTCATTCACCGGTCAAACAGCCTTCCCCGTCCTCGTCATCCTCTGCCTCGCCACCACCCCCTCAGATCAAACAAGAGAAAGAAGTCACGGAAGAGAAAGAGAAGTCGCCGCCTTTACCAAAATCCAAGAAAACGACAAGCCGCCGCTACCGCAAACACTCGCCGTCACCATCCTCGTCTGAAGGGGAGTGGTCGCCAGAGAGGAAGAAGAAAGCTGACTCCTCTAAAGATCGGAGAAAGGAACGAGAACGAAGTGAGTCACCAAGGGATCGGCGAAGAAAGCCCCGAGATGAGTCACTTTCCTCCAGACGAAGAAGGAGAGACGATTCACGCTCGCCTTCCCCACCCAGACGAAAAAGAAGAGAGTTTTCCCGTTCGCCTTCTCCCCGAAGACGGCGCCAAGAGAGACGTTCTTCTTCTCCTCGAAGGAGGAGAAAAGCAGAACATTCGCAATCACCATCTCCCAGGGAAAGGCGACGACGACCTGAGCCATCGCCGCCACGAAGTAGAGAGCGTAGAAAGGAAAGAATACCGTCCCCGCCACTGCGAAGACGCCGTCGGTCAAGTTCGTCACCTCCTGTAACTCGTCGGTCAGAATCGCCACAACCATCGGGTCGTCGTCGTGCCGACGAACAAGATCAAAAAGAGCGTCGCCGCTCTCCAGAACCAGAGAAAGTAGCTGGTCGGAGACGAAAGCGCTCGGAGAGGTCTCGGTCTTCTTCAGGCTCGCCAGTGTCACCACAGAAGCCACAGGCCGAACCTGATTCAGCGAAGAAGTTAAAAGCTCGTCAAGATAAACGATCATCTTCTTCGTCTGCTTCCCCTGAGCCGTCATCGGCTAAGAAAAAGACGCGTGAGACTCGAGAGTCTCCCGTCAAGTCTCCTCCAAGGGACGCAATTCGAGGAAAAGGAGAGGGAAGAAAACGATCAAGGTCGAACTCGCCTCGCGAGGATGCTCGGGATCGGAAACGTTCGGCTTCTCCTCGAGAAGATTCTCGTGATAGGAAACGAGGGGAAAGAAAGTCGCCGTCCATGTCACCCAAGAGGTAAGATGTTTAGGCTGTTATTTTGAGCGCGGTAATAAATGGTTGACAAAACTCCTACCGATATCAAATCTTCTCTTTTCTTACTTCATTGTTTATGGTTCAGAAAGTATATTGTGTGTGCATTGCATTTTACATAATTACTTATTTCTTAATTAACAGTGATTTTTTTTTGTATTGAAACTTAGTGGAAAATGAAAAAACTGGTTTCCTTAGGATAGTCAACATTTAATTTGTTTTAAGGCCCAAAAGTCGGAGATCAGCACAAGGTGCCTCTGCTTCGCCTGGCCCCAAAACCAAATCTCGTACAAAGCGTTCTGCTTCAGCCTCGCCCCAGCCCTCACCCGCGAAGGCTTCAAAGTCACGCGCCTCAAGGAGATCGCCGTCATCTTCTCCTGAACGGGAAGTCAAACCTAGATCTCGCGCTGCCAAGCAATCCTCGCCTGCCTCACCCGAAACTCGTCAGCAATCGCACGCGACCAAGAGGAATCCTTCGGCATCCCCATCACGTGAACGGGTCAAACGGAAAGCGGCAGCCAAGAGGACCTCTAGCGAGGAAAAATCCCCCGAGCCCTCAGCAAGAAAGGCCCGAAAAAGCCCCTCAGTGCCGGAAGAAGAGCCGCCGAGAAAGTCTCCAAGCAAGTCCCCTCCTGCTCCTGCTAAGGTATTATAAATACTCTCATAGTATTCGGTGTCAGTTATGTGGCGATCTTAACCTTTAAACTCCCAAGATCTTAGTAGTAATTCTCTTTACTGTCTTCAAGATGATTCTCATAATGTAAGTTTGGAGAATTTTGTATCGGATAATAAATGGATATTATTGGAGAAGTTTCATGTTAATCACTTCTGGAAGTTAAAGGGTTAATCTTGGTTCGTGTAACCTTTAACAGGAAAGCTCTGCTGAGGAACAAGAGAAACCAGAGGAAAAGGAAGCAAAAGGTGAAAAGAAAAAGAAACATAAGAAACACAAGAAACATGGGAGCTCGAAACACAAACATAAGCGTTCAAAACACAAGAAACACAAAGACAAGGACAAGTCACCTGGGGTTAGTAGTAACTTACGTGTTAACGCTGCGCTTTAAGAGAAATTTTTTGCAATTGAGTATCGAAAGTAGACCGGAATATTGCATCGGGTTTGGTTTTTTTCGCTCTGTCATTGGTCTAAAAAAACTCGTGTCACTCTCTCAACCAAACAGATGCAAAACTTAAACCAATCACGAATTGGACACCCGTGTTGTCCCGCGCTTTTGACAGCTTGCTTGATTGACTTTGATTTCTCGTTATTTCCCAAGGGTATTTCCCTTTCATCTCATCGGTTGTTGTGATACCTTTGAGTTTGGCTTTATGACACTTCATCGAAAACCGCTCCATTTTGCAAATGGGAATCGTATTCACCGACGTCCTAGTTAGCGCGCGGGTGTTGCCTGCGCCCACATGTCCACGTAATTTGCACTCTTTTGTACATGATGACCGTCAGAATTGATAAAAGGGGCATTTCTCGAGTCTAGTTTGTCTGAAGGTTTTCCCTGACAGAGCCCTTTTTTTCTGGGATAGTCGTTTATAAGGTTCTAAGGTTGTAAACAGATTAACCGTAAGATACGTTCTACACAATGAGGGAATGGCCTTCAACTGTTTGATGACTGTTTTAATCGTTCTCCAGTAATCGTATGCTAAATTTGTTTTTCCTTTTTCACAGCACTCGGATAGCATGGACGAAGATGACACAGAAACCTTGGAGAGAAAGCTAAGAGAGAAGGCTCTTCAATCGATGCAGAGACACGCCAAATCACCGGAAGGACAGGAGGAGAACGACGACGATTGATTCGCTGAAAAGTTAACAAAAGGCAAAAATTCAAAAGTAGAGACCGACCGACTATCTTTGAGAGAAACACCCTGCCATTACCCAGGCGTTTAATATCTTGATATTTCTCTTGAAATAGCGCAGTTATCGTACACAGTATTAGTAGTTGTTCTTTATTTTTTAGCTGACCTCCTCCCACACAAAAGGACTTGATTTCAGTCCTTTTTTTTCAAACGTGATTCACCGCCAAGCGGTAGAGTGCGTGCTAGCTTAAGATCGTCTATATGCCTCCAGAGTTTTGTTTTCCTCTTTACCCAATATACAACCATTAGGCGAAAAAAAACGTTCTCAACTTGCCAATCAGTTTTGCACATTGCGGCTTTCGAGTTTAGAACAGAGAAGAATTTTGGTTCAATAGCATACCTTTCCAGTGGCATTGCACCAAGCAATGTTTTGTTCTAGTTAAGGGCTCTTACACGTCATGACTCCAGTGAAAAACCTTTCAGGTTACTGTTGTGCGTGGAATTCAAAATAGTAGAGCCTGGTTTTTAGTGCACCGCGCTTCTTGGTTGTAATGAAACGTCCTACGATACGTAAAGCTTTTTCAGGTTTCTGTGTCGGGACGTGTTTCTTCTAAAGCATAGGTATTTATTCTGCGCATTAATTTTCCTAACCGTGTGTGATGAGTGGAAAGAGACGCCAACAAACGAACATTATTTCGAGGTATTTTATTTTCCGCACACTAAGTTTTATCTTTTGAGAAGAAGACAAGTGAGGCAACCATGATCAACCTGCGAGTCTTTTTTTATTAACTTTTGTTGTAATTTAGTAAACAAATCTGTAGTAAAGTCATTCTTGCAAAATATAACCGGTGAATCTCTTTACTTATGGTTGATGTCGCCCCATTAGGCAAGAGGGTTTCCAATGGGAAACGGGTCCCTGAATACGTGCGTTTTCCCGCACGATACCGACTGTAATCTTATTTTCTTTGTAATGAGCCGTCTCGTTGTTACCTTTTGAGGGTCATTGCCACGAGGTTGAACTTGGTTGAATTAAATTTAATTGTAAGTCAATTTGGGCGGAATCCACTGTTCCACCTGATATGTTTCAACACTCTTGCCAAAAAAAATCACATTTCTGGCTATATTTTCTGGACTTGTACTTCCAAACGACCCGAAAACTTAACGCTTCTTAGACTACGAGCAGTCCCTCCTTTTCGGCGGGTCCGTCGCGCGAGTCTAAAGAATTCAGCCCTCCCAGAGTTCCACGCAGTTCGATAAGATCTTTTTTTTTCCTTGAATGTTTTTTTTTTCTTTTTTCTTCTTTTTCACTCCCCCGACGGACGTCGCCTTAAAGATGGCACTGCTCGTAGTCTAAACTTTCCTTAAGTACATAACAAATTACCACGCCAATTACGGGTATTTTTCTGTAAATAAGTACCGTGAGAATGGGATGGCAAGTGAAACCTTTACATTCATCTATTGGGGCAAAATCAAGGCTCAGCACTAGTATCTCGAGCTTTTTTTTTTATTTGTAAATTAAAACACTTTATCATGGATTAAATGAATTTTGTAAAGCGACCCTAACTACCGCGCGCGTGCATTTCTTTTCTCGCGCTTGACGTAGATCTTTGTGGCGTACAATCCGTCGATTCAAACGTCATTTTTTCCGTTTAGTATTGAGATGTCTGCTACACTGATTCGCACAGAAAAACAATTCTTTTAACTGGCAGAAACAGTTCAAACTAATTTGTTCTTCCGTCGAAGACACAGAAAGTGGATAAGGTGGTTTTAAAGCCGGAGTTTTCCTACAGGGTGTACATCGCAGCCGACCGGTAAGATAGTGCGCAAACTTAGGAAGTCGTTTCATGTAGATTACAACAACCAGAAGCAAACGTCTATCGCAGTCTGAGACCTATAGGTAAAAATCGTGAGACGTTGCCAATTCCTAAAAGCCTTATCAATTTTCGTGGGAAAGATGCATTATTTCACCGAGGAGAAATTTCAGTCACTGAATCTAAAGATTTTGGTTTCACTTCATTGTAACATACGTAGACAGAGGAAACTTTCTTTAATTTAAAGATAAAAAGATTCTAGCACTAATTGAAACGCTTCCTTTTATTTGTTATTTTACCCAGGGGATGAGAGATTGCCTGGGATTTTCAGGCGAAATTTTCGTGGGCTATTACAACGAAGTGAATCTGTTCTTTAAAGAACTCTCTATTTTACTGTATCACGGGTTCACGTAACGCTGAGACAAACTAGTCAAATCTTCAAGCATTTCTTTAAATGTTTCTTCTTCAGTACCTGATTCCAAAAACAAATGATGCTTACTGATATTTACTCTTTTTGCCCACTGAATCAATGACAGAAGCATACTAGCGATGCCGGAATTTGTCTCGAGACGACTAAGAACACTTGTCTGACTCACTCGTACACTCTCTGGTCTTGTATATCCATCAACAACAAGTCCATCATTGGTTACTCTTGAGCCGAAAATATTTGGAAAAGGAGGCTTGACCATACAAGTTTGATTGACATTCCAACACACAGGTTGAGTCTGAGGGTGTAAATTTTGCAGAAATGTTTGAACCATTTCACTAGCAGTTGTGCAAACTTCAAATGGGTTCTCATGCAACACAGAATTCTGGGACTGGATGTTTTGTTGAGGTGTATGGGTGAAAGAAGCAGGGATGCCTCTTATGACTGCAGACTGAGATATAAGAGAGGAAGAATGTGAAATACCAGGAGTTACTGACTGAAAAAGTTCTGTTCCATTTCTACTCAGTGTAGAGCCTAGAAGGGACGACAAAGGAATAGCATCTTCTATGGGTAAAGGGAAAGTCAACGAGAGGCTGGCAATCTTTCTCTCTCCAAATGCCACACTATTTACAAAGCTGTTCATGTTGACTGCCTGAGGTGTGAGGAGCCGGTAAGGCATAGTGATTGTGTCCACACATGCTCCCAACACTGCACTGGTGTGGTATGACAAAGCAGGCTGGGAAAGAAAAACAAAAAAAATACCTTAGCAAACAATTGCTTATGAGATGATTACTGGTTCTATAATGCTCATAAAAGGAAACTAAATCACCTTGTAATCTAAAAGAGGAAAATCCCTGGCTTGTCCCAGGTGTGGCCACACCTCTTGAGCAAGTGACATAGGTACAAACAGATCACTGTTTAATGCCAACTGACCAAAACTCAGAGCTGAATTCAGGATTCTATGAACAGCATCTTTATGTGCTTCCTTGGGAAATTCAGTTGGTGTAACTCCAAATGTAAGAAACGATTTATTCCCATACTCATCTCTTAGGTCTTCAAGTAGCTGGCTGCTTATGCCACCAAAACCATTATATACATCAGAGAATATCTGTAGGAACAAAATATAAAACTGACATCAGTTGAGCAGACATTGCAGAGACCTTAAAGAAGTGTCTATAACTGAAGCTGGACACTTAAGCATTAACCCTTTAACTCCCAGAAGTGATTAACATAAAACTTCTCCCTACAATATCCATACATTCTTCAGGAAACAGGTAATCAGAACTAATTTCTCATAACTAATTTAAAAGGAAATGTGTAGCAGATACAGGAGAGAATTAACAATCAGATCTTGGGGGTTAAGGGGTTAAGCAGTGCAAAACTAACACTATAGTTTTCACTATGCTCAATCAGAACATAGGAAAATATCACATGAAGCCAAAGAAAACTTAAACTACAGACACATCGATGGCCTCAGGCACAGGAAAGTGTGAATGGCTGAGCTATGATTAGTTTATATCTAATTGGTTGCATATGTAGCACAGGTTTTCTGAACTAATAACAGATGAAAGTTAAGCACACAAAAAGCTAGACAAGCACCAGGCTCCTAAGTGCAATTAGGCCGGATCACTGGTCAAGGGGGGCAGGGGTTGGGAGAGGTAGAAGGAAGGAATTGAAAAAAGCAAGAAAATATTAGGGGGAGGGAAAATGGGCAGTAGACAGTTTTCCTATTATCAATTCTGTTCCTCACTGAGAAGCAAGGACCCAGATTAAGGTTAAACAGACCTGGATTACAATCCATAAGGCGTTAAGAATCACTTTAAAACAGACAACTACCTCTCTCAACTTACAAAATCACTAAGTGAACAAAATGGCGAAATGATCAAAACTTTGGTCTGATAGCTTCCAGACACTCTATGGACCTCACCACAAATTCATTTTTCCAAGCGGTATAATTCTAACCTGGAATCCCTGTAGACTGTCACATTCCTCGACAAAGAAATGAAGATTGCTTTCAAACTCATCATAAAAGTGTTCATCTTTGGCTACAGACTGTCCGTATCCAAACACATCAAATGGACTAGTGCTTCCATCATGCAGGTAATCCCGCACAAGCTGAATTGATTTCGGATGCAAGCAGGTTCCTAAGAAGTCTGACCACACAAAGACATTTTTATCCAGGTCATAATACTTTTCTCTTGGGTTTTTATCGACAGGATCCTGATCAAGCGTTTTATTGTCAACAGAAACTTCTGTTTCGCGATCGTTCTCAGACTCCAGTACCGCTTCCAAGTCCATTTGAAATTCATTTTTAGGTTCTGGTTCTGATTCATGTACAGAAACTGCCCCTTCCCACAAGGTTTCGTGGCCGTCAGATGGAGTCTGATACAAAGTTCCATATTTTGGTAGATTTTTTAGACTTCCTTTCAAATCGAACACCAACAACCTTGGAGTGTAAGTTTGGTCGCCCTGTAAAGTTAAACCTTCCCTAAACAACACATCGTGGTTAATTTCTTGTTGAAATGAAGAACTAGGGTCATAGCAGAAGCTAGATTCTTGAATATTCCACCAGTGAGTACCGACAAAGTTGGAGTAATGACCAAATTGGAGAGTTATCACCTCTCGTGTTAGACTGCCCGCCATATTGTTACTAATCGATCCTTATGAGCAGCGGACCCTAATAACAACTAAAGCGTGAACATATGTTAGTATGCGAATCCGCAGAATGATCGCAGATTCTTCCACCCTCATGTTCCAGTATATTTTCGTGGATTTTTGCAATTAATTCATCCATACATATAAGTTAAGGAATGAACAGCGTTGGACCTGAGTGTAATGACTTGAAGAAAGAATACGATTCTTGCTTCAATGTGTGGTATTCGGAGAGCTTCCTCAAAGGTGACTACAAAAGTGATCCTTGTAGTGAGCTGCTCAAGAACTACAGAGCATGTGTTTTGGTAAGTTGCACGATATATTAAGATACTTAATATTTTTCCCTTGAAGAGAAAATATTTTTCCTAACGAGGGTAGACGAGTTATCAATGAATTCCATGAGTTCATCATCATCAACATTTTCTAATCAGAAGCTTGCCTCTCTTACATTACGTTGCACACCGAAGATTGATGAGTGGTAGAAGGGGAAGTGAAGGGGTTGGGGCTGGGGTGGGTCGAGTCCCTGTTATAGCCACAATGTGGGCATGCGCTCCTTGGTATCCAATCTAGTTGCCCCTGGACCAGCTCACCCACGCCAACTCATCCATGCATAAAATCACTTTAACAAGCCAAGCTCATTACAGAATTAGTCTTGTTTTAAGTTAAGGTCAGATATCTTATGAAATGATAATAAAATAATTGAAGTTTCAACATCAATTTGTTAGCTTTATGCCGTTGCATTACAAACTGAAGTGTTTAGTATCTGGTATACCGTTACACACAAACACTTAAATGCCATGGACACTTTCTAACACCTTTGTGGAAATGTGGATATCTTCAGAACAACAGCTTTCAGTTTGTTTGTATCTTACAATTTCTTTTTGTCATGTATGTCATGTTACACTTTGATGTTGATGGATCAACTAATCCCCAAATTGATATTTTTCTTCTTTCTCATCACTTATCTGTTTGATCTTGTATTGATATTGTAAGGAGAAATTCTGTCTTGGTCACTCATGGGGGTTAAAGGGTTAATGACTGTGAATGACAAAAATCGTATATGTGAACTGCTGATTAATAAATGATTATGAGAAGGATCTTTGTAGCAATGACCACTACTTTAAAGGCAGTAGAAAAGAAATTTTAGGTGTGGCTTGTTGGCTTGGGCAAGTTGGTCCATGGGCAACTCAACTGAAATTTTGCTCCTCTGCTTTGATAACAAAGGTACTTTTATCACTTGCTAAACCAAGGCTCTGTTAGCTCAACAACAACATCCTATATTCTATGCCATATATAGAGACAATAGTTCATCTCAAGTTATTCTTCCAGAGACTTAATGCTTGTGTGATATATTTCTGTGGTCCTTAAATGTTTGTATCTCTTTCTATAGAAGGCCATCAAGGAGAAAAATATAGATCTTTCAGATATTGAAACAGATGTCCTTGGAACCAACAGAGAAAAGCAACCACCTCCAGAAAAGTAACCACCTTTCATAAAATCTTGCAAAGTCATCACCAATGTTAGCAGGTCAATGTAGTTATCCCAGACAATAGCCAAGAAACCACTTGTACTTGGCATGGAATCAAACACAATTATTTGGTAGCCTTCTGACAAAGTTTACCACATGATTAAGTGTTTGAAAGCTTGAAAACTACAGCTACCAGGCACTGGTTGTAGTCCACTGTCATCTCTGGTTAGATAACATGAAATTCTCTGTATGGTGTTTGGAGTGTAAAAACAGTTTGCTTAATTTGCAGCAAAAATGCTATTAACTTCTCTGTTGACTATTGGCCAGACATAATTTGATATGAATGTACTACAAGAAAAATAAAATATGATGGAACCCTGTTCAGCTAGTTTAATAATTACTCTTACATTCATTTCCTTTCACTCCCAAAGTCTCATTTTAGTAATTCTCTGTACTGTCTATAATACAATTTATCAACAAATAATCCCCTAATTTATAAATTTCCATATTCTCATTGCTTGTCTGCTTGAGATTGTATTGACATTGTAACGAGAAATTATTTCTTGGTCACCCTTGGAAGTAAGGGGTTTATTTTGAATACTTTGGAATCAAAAAGCGAAGTTTTGCTCTTTCATAATAGTCATATATCAGTTTTCCACCTTGTGCTGGCCAGTCAATTTAAAACCAGCTGTTCAGATGTTTTCACATGGCATACAACTCAATTTTTTTGAACAGATGTTTATAGGCCAACTCTCCAGGATACAGGAAAAATATCCCTGTTATCACCATACAGTAAATACTAGTTTTGAATTTAGGGACAGATACAAATTTATTTCTTGCACCATCTTGTGTTTTTTATTCATAATAATTTGTAAAATTTTTAATTTCAGGAATAGTTGTGAAATGTAGAATGAACTTTACTTAAAGCAGTAGTAAATAATAGGAACATTTGTGAATAAAATTGATCAGCTAATCAATTCTGTGAATAAGGCTGAAGTCTAACTTTTCCAAGGTGTGGTGTAGTTTGTGTTGTTTTCAAATCTAAGGCATAGAATGTTTCTAAGAGTAAGAGAAGAACAAAAAAATGGCACACAAGGTAATGCTAGGGGGATCACTGACATTCTTATAACAATTTGATGTCTTCCATCATCTATTACCAAACAGAAGAACCAATCAAAATGCATGTATACTTCAGGTTGTCATATAAATAGGAACATTTCAACCCAAATGGGAAGGCTTTTTAGCTGTTTTGGTCTGCAAAAGAGTAAAGAATTTTCAAATTGAAAATGGATTTAGAAAGAGGCATGATTTGGTTAAAAAAAATTGAGACAAGATTTGGAGAACGTGGACAGCACATCCCTGCCAAGAATATCAAGGAGTGCAATTTCAACTTCCTGAGCTATGTTTCCACCTGTACACTCATTGTTCACATTTAAAAACCAGATGAGAGCAGGCAGACTGAAGACTCGGATTAAACCCCCCTCCCCATTAGACTATCTTTTTCATCTTCCACCTAAAGTACCCTTGAGGATTTTTGAAAGTACAGATATCTATATATATATATATATATATATATATACATATGTAAGTGAAAGAATCAAAGAGGACGCATCGATTCTCTGTTGCGGAGCGGAGCCCGTGAGAGACCTGGGATCTAATAATAACATTCATCAAGATATCAAGATGGCGGACCTCTACTCAATTTGCTGCACCCAGCGAATTGTACTTTACGAGACGAAAGCGGTAAATATCATATTTAGGATAAGAGATAAAAACCTAATTATATGTTATAATAACAATTTTTTTCGTCCTTCTTGCAGAGGTTCTTCCTCGTTGGCTCGAATAATGCAGAAACTCGCTTTCGTGTTTTGAAAATAGATAGGACTGAACCGTACGAACTGGTATTTTTCGACGATAAGGTTTGTCTCAAAACAGTTTACTTTAGGAATTATTTTAAGTAAATAACCCATTTATGAACGTCATCACCCTAAGCGACTCAAAGATCCCGTGCGTTGAAATGATATGAGTGATCAAAATCAGAAATCTCTTTAACTCTTTCACTACTTTGATCTAATTATTAACTCTCCTTACTCTCTTCTGTTTATTTCTTCATGTCTAAGATATTTGTGTTAGAACAATCTATACCCTCCTCCCTTAAGATAATAGTTCTCTTGTCCAAAACCCAGTCACACAGAGTATGGCAGGTGCTTAAACAAGTACTTTTTTAAACCTCCATTTTGCATGCCAAAATCACGATATCTCTTTGAGGTTTTGCACACCAAAATCACCAGATCTCTTTGAGTTCTGCCATACTCTGCAGACTATTTCAAAACAAGAACACAAGTCTCAAATGTGATTGGTTATCAAACAGACTGATTTGAAAGGACAGTTCACCCATCATGGATTGGACAGAACTGCAAATCACAACAAATGTAGATGTTCATGGGTCAAATTAAAATTCATCAAATATTTTGTGTTCTAATTCAAAAAAATTTGCACTTGGTTTTTGCTCATGAGTATGTTTTGGATTTTTTTTTGAAAGGAAATCATTATGATAATTGTTATGTTGATTTTTTGAACCTAAACACTTCCTCTGTGGAACATGGTCTAAAAGTGTAGTGTTTGTTATGTGGATGACTAGAATTTGAAAAACCACTACTGCTATGTGTAGCTATGATCATGATGTTGGTGGTTGAACCCAAAAAACTGCTGTTGCTTTGCAAGGTCTTCAAGTGCAATGATTATCATGTTAAGTAGTTGGAACCTAAACATTGCTACTGTAGTGCTTAGTCTACTTAAACAAATAGATTGTATGTTGCTGTGTGTCTGTTCAGAAATAGATGACAGATGAGCTGAGTGCATCTCTGATTTTCCTTAACCTCATTTGTTAGTCTTCTTTGATCTGTTATTGTACTAACCCATGGTAACATGGAGTCTATTTTATATGGTAAAAAAGCAAAATGTTGTGGAAGGTGATGTCATTTCAATAGATCATGAGCAAGAACCAATCAAAAATGTATGTGCAATTCAGCTTTTCATATAATGTGCAGTGATTATGTTGTCAAGTTGGAACCTTGACACTGTCACTGCTGTACATGGTCTACATTTGTAGTAGTTAAAATGTTCAAGTCCAATTCAAATGTCCTGTTTGAACAAGAAATGGCTGTATGAAGTGGATATATAATAATTAATGACAGGTTCCCTCTTAGATATTGGAGCTGAATGGATTTTGTCTTAAACTGCGTCATGATTTTATTTTATTTTATTATTCTTGTTAGGTTGAGTACAATCAAAGACAGATCAAGGATTTGTTGTCCATGATCAATGCTGGCAATTTGCCAAATAAAAACAAACCACATGAGAGTTCAAATAAAGGTCTACACAGGAGTATATCTGCTTATGGTATTGTAGGTGAGTCTTAATCTTGCAAGATTATTTTTCTCTCTACTCTTTCACCTCTAAATCCCTTAGATCTCAATATCAATTCTCCTCTCTATCTATTAAACATTTCTTCTAATTTAAGTTCTGAGAATTTGTCATGAGATCAAACAAACAAGAACTTCCATTTGATATTTGTCTTTAGATCAAACAAACAAGAACTCCCATTTGATCCCTTACCTCTGTTCTTGACCTCTCTTCTTGTATTAGTAAGATTGGAAGAAATTTCTTCTTGTCTGACCCAGGGAGGGAAAGACCCAATATAATAGATGAGAGTTGTTATACCAGGCATGACAGAGAGAGAGTCCTAGAATAATGAATAAGTCCTGAACAACTCTGTTCTTGGTACAGACTGTCTTAGTTAAAATAAATTAGTCTTTGTGAAGTGTTCTTGGGCAACCTACTATAATCTCACACTAGGAGTCTGAAAATGTATTTATTGTAAGGAAAACAGAGCAGAATTGATATTAACTGCAGCTCCAGGATTGTTTGGGCCACTAGGTTTGAGAACAGACTTCACCCTATGAACCTCCTATTGCACTCTACAGTTCAGTATTTCTCCTTAAACTTATGTGAAGTGGATATTCTTTGCAGGATTTGTGAGATTTCTTGAGGGGTATTACATCATATTGATCACAGAGAGAAGGAAGTAAGTTTACTTGTTAACCTTTTACACCCTTACATTAATATCGATATTCTCCATACTCTTTTGTATGCATTTCCTTTGGTACTGACAAGGAGAATTTGTTTAACAATCAAAGTTTTCATCATCATAATGAATGGTTAGGCAATATTACTGGAAAGAGAATTCGATGGTTGTCACTCTAAGGGATAAACGGCTTAACTGTAATTTGCAAAATGAAAGGAAATGAAGATCTGTAATTTGCTAAATGGAAATGTGAAATGTGAAAAGAGAATGCCTGTTTCACTGACTGTTTTCCTCAAGCTCATTTTGATGGTATATTTTGGAGGGCAAATTTACTCAAGTTCACTTGAGGTAAAGTTAGCTTGAGTTTCAATTTCTCTGTGTCAAAAGGTCACACCAGTCTTTGTGACCAATATCAAGGTTAAAAACTGCAATACTCAATTATTATTCCCTTAAAATGTTTTGGCATGCAAATCAAATCATAAAAATTCTTGAAGTTCAAGAATATCAAAGAGCTTAAGTCAGTTTCATTTACCCACCAAGCATGATATTTCATTTAGAAACATGCTGCATACACCTTTGGCAGCAACATCTTCTAAGTGTATGTCTGGTCATTTTTCAAATTAGAGATTTTCATTTTATGGCTTATTGGCACAATTCTTCGTAGCCAATGCACTGATTCATTCATAAACTTAGAGAAGATTTTGCAAAGTACATTAAGAGATTTTACATTTTTCACCTTCTCGAGTTTGCATAAGCAATACACACTTATGGTCAACTGACAAATTTAACCTTACAGCTGGTGGGTTTTTCCACAGGGATTCTCGTTTCACAAAGTACAGATTTACATTTTGCAAATTACAGATTTTCATTTCTCAACTTACAGATTTTCATTTTGTTTTGCAAAAATTACAGTAAACTGTTTAAAGAGCTCAGTTCCACTAACAATTTGTGCATGAAAAAGTTAGGTTAAATAGAAATATGAGGTGTTGTCATGATTGTTTTACTGAATTTTGGCTTAACCCAGAAATGCTTTTTTGATTTAACTTAACTTTTTAAAAGAATATGAAATATTACATTTTACAGGCAGGCTGAGATTGGAGGACACAGCATCTATAAAATTGAAGATACAAAGTTAATTCCAATAGCAAATGAACTCGTCAGACAGAAGTTCCAGCACCCTGATGAGAGCAAGTAAATGTTGTTACTGCAAAAACATGAAAACATGTTTTTTTCTATTTCCTTTACAAGCAGGCCAGTGGCAGTATTATGATATGAGTAATTCTTGAAATATTCAATGAGTACATTCTCATTTCTTTCCTAACTCCCTTTGCTTCAGATATGTCAAGATCTTTCAGAATGTTGATCTCTCTAGTAACTTTTATTTTAGGTATGTAAAGCTCTTATTCTCTTTGTAAGTTTGTATTTTGCCAAAGTAATCAAGACAAAAGAGACCACTGTTTCTGTATTGAGTTTTATATGTTATTATTATCATAATAACATGAATACAGTCATAAGCAGGTTTAAATCTACAGAGGAATGTATATGTTGGGGTTCAATTTTGTTCCTGTTTTAAATATTACTAAACCAAAAAAAAAAAAATTGAACCAAGGAAAAAATTGAACTCAACAAATAAATATACACATTCTTCTAAGCAGCCATTACCTGTTGTAACAACTTTTTCTATTTCTTAAAGGCATCTGCATGCACAACCATCAACTATGCTTTTCATGATTAACGATCTGACCTAACGTTGTCTTTGATCTTTTCCTGCAAGTTTGTCTTATTGAGTGGTCAATTGGTTCCAACTTTTGCTCTTTATTGTGTTATAGCTACAGTTATGATTTGACTCATAACCTCCAGCGTCAAATGGCTCCCATCATTAATCCCCCAGCTTACTCTAGTACTGCACATTCATGGCAGGCTTGGGGACTATGCACTCACTTAGACAAAGAAACAACACAAGATGCATGTGCTTTGTTAGCTGTGCCAGAGGGCACAAAAGATAAATCTGATCCTCAGAATGCCAATGAAAATGGAACACATGATCAAGCTCTGGGCGGGAGTAAAGAAACTGGTGAACTAGCAAGTGATGAAGGCGCAAGTGATGTGCAAATTCAAAATAATGATGGGATCACTGAGCAAAGTGGAAATTTCGAAACTTCAGATACTGTGATATCCAGTGCATGTGATCAGAGGAGTGAAATAACAGAAGTTGGTACCACAAAACAAGATTTTTCTGCTGATCATGTTGTTGCTTCATCATCAAAAGAGATTCAGTCATCACCAAAGAAACCAGGACAAGCAACTGATTCTACACAGAAACAAGAGCTGGCAAGGGACTCTTGTGTCAGTAAAGATGAAAGAAAAGTTCCCTTTTGCCCTGACTGTGAGAAATTGAGGCAAAAAAGAGAGAGGCCTTTTTTGAGCAAGAGCAAATCATGTAGCAAGTTTGTGTGGAACAGATATCTGCTGAAAGGTTTTGAAGGAGCTGTCCACTCTGACTGGATTCTGCACATTGTGAATGGCTTTGTTGGACAATCTGGTATCCTTTCATTTATTATCAATAATTTTGGAGAAATATCAGATGTTCAAATATTGAAGATAATTATTGATGTACACATGAAGGAAGGAACAGCATATTAGTGAGCTTTTCATCCACAGTTTGAACACAAAATGTCTTCTACTCTTGCAGTTAGAGCTGCTGGAAGAATGTAAGAGTAAGGTGAATAGGCTTTAAAGATAACAGATTTGGCCTGGGTAAGGGATTTTATCTGTTTAAACTTTAGGCTTGTAGATCAAATCATTAGTCTTTGATCAGTTGTCCAAATTAGAGAAAGTGAAAAAACCTTTAAAAAGTTTGCTAACTTAAAGACCCTGACAAAGCCTTGATCTTGACAGCTTAGGTAGTTAGTGTTTTTGTTGCCACAACCCTGCTGTCTCAAACACCAACAACTACAGAAAATCTTCAGGTGAAATCCAAACATTGTTTAAAAAAAAGGAAAATATACATATATATATATACACTCAGTGTGATAAAGTTATGTTGGATGGCATAAAATTAACTCAGATGTAGATTTTTTAAAAAAATAATGTTGTATTCTTACATCGGGCCAAAAGGAAGGGTTTGTTAAATAAGTAAACTAATGTTCTAAATTTGGAAAGGATCAGCTCAAGTGAGTCAGGAAATATCTCTTTTGTTTGATGATGTTTTCAGTGTGGTTTGCCCTGTCCATCATTTCAACAACAAAATTGATGTATTGCTGTTAGAAACATAAATTTGAGTGAAAAACTACAAAATCTGTTGATGCACCTTTAACTTGTGATACATAATACTTCAGATATTTGTGTGTATGGTCGGCCCATATATGTTACACTGATTGCTCGAAGGTCAAAAGAATTTGCTGGAACTAGGTTTTTAAAGAGAGGAGCTAATGATGAGGTTGGTACCAAAAAACTGTTCAATACTTGAACACCTTCTCACTATTTTAGAAAGATTTTTGTTAACTGGAGTCAAGGGAAGTAGTGGTCTTATGGCTGATATGGTTGACTCAAAAAGTTCCATGCTTAGGGCTGGTCAGGGTGGTTGCATTGTGTTCCTGGGCAAGACCCTTGGCATTATTACTTCTCATCAAATCCTAAAGTTTTCAGGCTTCTATTCTACAATTACTTATTAAATTTCAGCTCACCTTACTTTCCTGGTCAGATTTTTTTCAATCCACAGTTTAAATGAAATTTATCTCATAACAAATTGAGACTTCACCCTCACAGCCCTCAAGATTTACAGTTGATTGTTTTTTTTTTGGTTCTTTTAGGGAAATGTAGCCAATGAGGTTGAAACAGAACAAATTGTTCATGATGCCTCTGTTTTGTCATTCAAGAGTGGAAGATTTACATCTTATGTTCAGCTCAGAGGATCCGTTCCATCTTTTTGGTCACAGGTACAATGATATATTTTGCTTCACCACCATTCAACTCTTGTTCCTAATTTTTGGGCCATTTCAAATGATCTTTTTTGTGCCATTTAACCCTTAAATTCCCACAATTGATCAAAACAGAATTTCTCCTAACAATGTTAATACAATATCAACCAGATGAGTGATTCATATGAAGAAAAATATCAATTAGAGGATTATAAGTGGATCCAATTTCAAATTCTCTGAACTAACATCATAAGAAATGTATGGCAGACACCAAGGAGAACTGCTGATGAGATCTTGGGAGTCAAAGGGTCAAGATTGACCATGTCTGTTGAACATCTTCTCTAATTGAGAGATAATTTATTTTTTCAGGATGTAAGACAAGTAATGGTGCCTAAGCCACAAATTATAGGTGGGTAACAATCAAGTACATGACCTTTATTTTCACTTGTACACAGTACTTGTGTAGTAATTATCTAAATTAGTTGTCAGTGATTCTGGTGAAAATCACAATAAGATTTGGGTCTTTTTGCAATTGCTCTATGATGTTGATCCATAGCAAAGAATGATTCTAAAAGTCTGTTTTTGAGAGATACTTTGTTCAAAAATCATCGTTATGTTGATTTTGTATTTGTAGGAAAAATGTTGGTTTATGGTTCAAAAGGTCTGTGATAGAAAGCCAATTAGAAGTTGTGCAGTTTGCTAGCTCTTTAACCCCCATGAGTGACCATAGAGTGGAAGGGTTGTAAGACCTTAAAGCCTCATTGTAACTGACCGTTTGAATGAGTTATATGAAACCGTGCATGCTTCATGTCTGTGTTCAAGCAGTTGTGATTTGTGATGATTGTTCTTTTTCATTGTTCAGTTATATTCGGGATTAGAGTTTCACTTGTCTAACATAATGTGTGCTGTTTTATTTTAAGTTGATCGTGCAGATCCATTCTGCTCGGCCGCTGGGCAACATTTTAACCAACTTCTTAGACGGTTTGGTTCTCCTGTGGTCATTCTTAATCTTGTAAAGGTGGGTTATATACTTTCTACGTCTTAAGTGTTGGAAAGTCTGCACAACACGTAACTGCATTTCCTCGAAAAAGCACCCACATTGCAAGAAGCACCCTTTCCCGAGTAAGAGTAAATAGTGTTGGAAAGTCCGCAAAATACCTATATGTAAAGGACGCTATACTTAAATCCCTGATTTTACGAGCTTTCGATTTTCCCGAAAAAGCAATTCAAATCAAATAAGCATCCGTTTTTCTCTTATTCGTGAACTGTTAGAGGTCTCTTTCCAACATATAACCTATGTATACTTCTTATTTTATAGAAGAGGGAAAGGAAGCGACACGAACAGATTCTCAGTGAGGAATTGGAAAGAGCAGTGACGTATTTGAACCAGTTTTTGCCATTACAACATGCCATAATATATAAAGCGTGGGACATGGCGCGATACAACAAGAGGTTGGGTCAAGTAGGGAGTTTTGTTGTAAAATGTGTTTTTGGTGATAATGATGGACAAATGTTTACTCGTTTGTCTCTCGATTAAGAGTCGCTGTCTAGTGTATAGTCTGTATGTATGTTGGCCGTACTGTACCTCTGCTATAAACATTGAATTTACTTAAAAATAAAGAGTTAAGTTTCTCAAGAAACTGAGGTGACGCGTCGGTGGAGAGTATAACAGGGTAATTTGATAGTATCAACTGGGTTGATAACGTAAAATGGCCACCGTAAAGAGCTTGTGGACCGTAAAGATGTTGTGGATGTTGTTGTTAAAGTTATGTTTTTTCAGTCTCTCGCGGTAACTTTTAGCAACCCCAAGTCACAGATACCACTAAAAATACCCAACAAGTCACAATATTGTTGCACCTTGTGTGATTACTACATTCCCACTCATTTCTGCTAAATTTGAGCTTATCAAGTCGCTGAATCAAATCATTGCTGTATTTTTCTTTTACAGTAAAGACTGTAATGTCATGGAGAAATTGACTGTCATAGCTGATGAGGTTTGTGTTAAAAAAAAAATAATAATAATAATAAAGCACTATTGACTTCTTAAGTTTAGTAGTTGACTTGTCATCATGCCTCCTCGCGCGAGAGGCCACTTAAGGCTATTAAGTTAAATAACCAACCATATCTTTTCCACTCCATTCCTTTGACTGTATTTCAGTCTGTATGCGTTTTCCTCTCCTCCGCTACAGTTAATTATTAATGCCATATTCATCAATAGTATGTTCTACTTGAATTCTGACTGAATGAGTGATAACGTTAAATGCCTCCTTTTGTTCTTCCTAACTATGAGTAAAACTGTTTCAGGTTTTCAAATCCACTGGCTTTTTCCACAGTGGACAGGAATTGTATTGCAATCAGATAAGAAAAGATTCAAGGTATGAGTCTTCTAGACAGACAGACAGACAGATAGATAGACAGACAGACAGACAGACAGACAGACAGGCAGACAGATAAATAGATAAACAGACAGACAGACAAATAGTTAAACAGACCGACAGACGGTTAGATAGATAAACAGACAAACAGACAGATAGATAAGCAGCCCAACAGACGGACAGATAGACGGACAGACCCTGGCCCACTTTTAAGATTTTTCAGAATAGCCACATACCCAAAGTATTCTATCTTAGGTCAAAGAGTCAAAGCTTCAGTTTAAACGTTCCTTTTGTGGAAATTTTTGAAGATGACAGTACTTTGTTCTAGGTTTAACGGTATGTGTGGCACTGGATACTCTGACGATTGTCTGGGAAGGGAACAGGTATAGTTTATAATTGTCATTTGCTTTTGCTATCTATAATTAGTGTTGGTATTACTTGTTTAATTACGTTACTCATTGTGCGTGCTTCTTACAGAGTTGAATTTTACATATCCGAAAATTACCCAAACCTTGATCAGACTTTTTTTTTCAGTATTCTTGTCCAAGCTCATTTACTCAGTTTTATTCCGCTTCCAAAACATATGGCAGTTTTCAAGATCGTCGTAAGAAATAAGAGCTTCGGATCCATTGGCTTTGCCGAAATCTTCTTCGTTTTTGTACTGGAACATTTGCACAAGCTTTTCAACAAATCAAATGCATCATTAAACCAATCCTAACCGTTTACACACTAACATCAGTAGCCATTTTTCTTAGTAATTTTCTCACGAAATTTCCTATGGTGCTGGCGAGGAGAACATATGTTTAACAATCCAGAGCTGATCATTTCCTTTATTCTCGTGACCTTAATGTGAGCATGATTCAGGGGTGATATTGTAAAGAGAAATTAGATGCTAGAAACTCTTAGAGACCAAAGTGTTACTTTAAGGCAGTTGGCTTCTTTCCTCCCAATAACATCCACATTGTACTTTTGTGCATGATTGCCTTTGTGATTAGTTCATCTTGTCGATAAATGAATTTAGTCTCATTTTTCTTTAGTTCAACTCTTTTGATATATTCTATTAATTAGTTGCCGGTGTGCACCCTGTTTGTTTATTGTTTGTAGTAGTGGTACTTGCAGTTTACATTGTCTTGAAAACGTAACTTGGGATACAAATTTTCTAATCTATCTCAAGCTAAAGCGTGCTTACGTTTGCACGTCATGATAAACTAAGAAATGACAATGTACAATTTCCTTTCTTTAAATGCCAAAATATCATGTCACCAAAGTCTGCTTACAGCGTGATTTTTTTTCTCATCCTAAGAATGGTGTACTCCGGACAAACTGCGTAGATTGTCTGGACAGAACAAACACTGCACAGTTTATGGTCGGTAAATGTGCTCTTGGTTTTCAGGTGAGTATATTATATTGTGATGAAATTTCAAAAGTTGAAACAGTGTGTGGGCGGTGTTCACCTACAAACTGCTACCACGTTCACAGATACACCACTAAAACGTTGACAAAACGTTTACGTAATTTCTCTGCAAAATGTTCACACGTTCACGGACACACTGTGTTTAGAGGCGCATTTGGCAGTGTGTCTGTGAACGCGTTGTTAATGTGTCGGGGAACGAGTTGATGTTGTCGGTAGTGATCGTTAATTCGTCAGTCACAGATTGTTAGATTTTAGTGAGTAGACTGAGCTCTAGGGACCCTAAAATGTGTATTTAGATCTTGATTAACAGCATACATCCCTGTTGCTAAGATTACCTGCTATCACACGGTTACTATACGCTCTAATATCCGCTGCTTTTCCTTCCAGTTGCATGCGTTAGGAGTGATTGACAAACCGTTTCTTCAGTTTGACTCGGATGCTGTGAGGTATGTTTGATCATTTTCGCCTTCACTCTGAAATTACTGCTTATTTCACCCTTTAACTCCCATAAGTGATCAAGACAGAATTTCTCTTAACGATATCAATACAATATCAAGTAGACAAGTGATGGGAATAAAGAAAAATATCAGTTAGGAGATTATAAGTTGATCCAATATCAAATTCTCCAAACTAACATCACAAGAACTGCATGGCAGACAGTTAGGAGAATTACTAATGAGATCTTGGGAGTTAAAGGGTTAAGTACTTGTTGAGGAAAACGCGCTGGCTCAATTCTTAGCACGCTTGTTCTTGGGCAATACACCGAACCCTCCTTAGTCCCCCCTCCCCCTCCATCCAGGGCCCAGTTGTATAAAAGGTGGATAAAGCTACCCTACGGATAAATCGCCATCCAGCGGATAAGTGATAGCAAAACGTATAGCGTTATCCACAGGATAGAGATTTATCCTGTGGATAGCGTTAACCCACCAACCGATCAACCGGGGCCAGGAGTATAATGAGGTATACTATCAAATTAACAGAGGGTCCAAGAATTGCTTTCTACTTGGTCGACGAGTGACCTATCAAAGGAAGTTTTACTATAATTGTTCATAGTTGTTTTATCTCTCTAAAATTATCTTGAATAGGCCTGTTCGGCAGGGCACTCTGGTCCTGAAATGTAAACTATTTGTAATCGTTGTATTGAAGTATTTTGCCTTGTTTTTTCAGGATTTTGGAAGATCTTTACGAAGCTCATGGCGATACTCTTGCTTTACAGTATGGAGGATCCCAGCTTGTGCACGGGTGAGGCATTTGTAATATGAGCAAGGGAAATCGTATACACCATTGATAGCAATGCACGTCAATCCAGTAGACCAATAAATATAGTGAGATTGACGCTGCAATTGGTACCTGAATTCTCTCCATTTAGCGATGTGTTTTTCCTTATCCCACGGTCCTTGTCTTCTCAGAATTCGCACGTATCGTAAGGTGTCGCCGTTCACTTCTCACTCAAGGGATATAATGCAGACAGTATCTCGCTATTACAGCAACGCATTCACGGGTAAGAGAACTCTAATTTGCATCCAAGTTGTTTATCGCTATATTTTTTTCCCTGTCATCTTAGCATGGGTCTCTTCATGGAGCGCGTTTCGTTTGAGTAATCACAACGGCCAATTAAAGGAAAGGATTTATTACTGGAAGGGAATGGGATTCAAATTATAGCGGAGCTCGCAGAACGTAGCCCCATAATTATACAAAATAGCAGTAACCCATCAAGCCAAAAAAATTTGGATGTACAACCGTACGACCGTACAAGGTGCTACTTTTAACATGCGTGGTCAACTGTACAGCGGGTATGCCAACGCCACGGCATTGTTCAGTAGTCCAGTGGTCAGTGCACTGGGCTCCGAGTCAGACGACCCGGGTTCTAGTCCTGGCCGGGGGAAGGCGTTGTGCCCTTGAGACGTGCGGGAAAAAAAAAATGCGAGCTCCGATTTTAGGCTTGGCTAAATGTATATATTAAACTGCTTGAAGCGCGGGAAAACGCGAGTGACCCAGTCGTCATTGGTTTTGTTTTGTATCTGATTGGTCGAGAAGGTTGTACAAATTTCTAAAGCAATTACAGCGTGTAGTTCAAGTAGACTAATGCAACAAAATGGCCCTTTTACCAATATGGCGTTTCTTCGAAATTTCAGCTGTGCCCTCCCCTTACCCACAACCCTCTGCTTGTTTTTTTAATAACTTCAGCGCATTATTTTCTATGTCTCTTTGCTGGCCCTTTGCAGATGCTGACAAGCAACAAGCCATGAATCTGTTCCTTGGGATATTTTCACCGCGACAGGAAAAACACAAAATTTGGGAACTGCCTAGTGATTATTATTTGCACCACAACACAACATGGGACTTGAGAGCGTCCAAGAACAGAAAAAGGTGATTGAGCTTAAAGCGTATTCTGATTTTCTGATTAAGAGTCGTTAGATCAAAACAATAGCGTTGTTTTTGCTCATCTGTTTTGTTTTGTTTTGCCTTTTTTGTTTCGTTGCTTTGCGTTCTGTTAATTTTGTTGTTGTTTTTTTTTTTCGCGTTTTCGTCTCTGCAGTTATACCAAGTGGTGGGATCAGGCTGTGGTCAACTCTTTGCCCCACCCCACCCCTGATGGTTTGTATACTTTTATCGTACTACAGTGTGACATTAAATGTATTATATTAGTCAAGTTAAATACTACCATGTTTTAATCTCAACCTTTCCATTCCTTGATTTGAATTCATTGGAACTTTTCCTCACAGTGATTCAAGAGGGCGGTATCATGCTATTTCATAACTTCCTTGGTACAACTGCGAGATAGTGTCAAACGACTCTGTTATGTACACGTACGGGTTTCTTTTAATTATCATTGAAGAAAATAAGCTGAATTATTTGATGCGCAAATATAGTCGAAGATTTGCAAAAGAAAACTGTCGTCTTCTTGTCACTCGCGCGTTGGGATGTAACGCAGTGCTGCGTGACACCCCAAAGAATCATGACGAAGGACAATAATACAACTAGAGATGAAATTGGGACGCCACAGTACGCGGAATCTACCGCACACGAGTTGGTTTTTTCCGCTTGCGCGCGGCTTCGCCCTTGAACTTTTGCGACGTCATTGTTAAATCTATAATAACAATTTTGCAGAAACGCCACTGGACGACGCAGGAAACAAGGAACAAAGGGAAGACCCCTGGCAGTACTCAGACTATGCAGATCATGAATCGGTAGATATGTTTTCAGAGTATTATCACCCGGATAACTTGACCGTCCTTGAGACAGTGTATCCTCATCGTATGCAGAAGTCTTGTAGGTAAGCGATCAAAGTATGGTATCTCATTAGTGTGTCAGTTCAATCTCAAGTAAACAGGTTTTGAGAATAAGGAAAATTTATTCTTATGTGTATTGTTTACAGCCTCTTCTTTTCCTGAAGTCTAGTTATTACCTTGATTTGTCGCCAACTTCGGGAGACTCTTTGGAAGGAATTGACTGGGTCTTTGGTGTGTGTCTGTGTTCTACAATGCGCAGTGTAACGAGCTCCGGGGATAGCAAGAGGGAACCTCACAAAGATTTTTGTTCGATTGGACTTTGGTTGAATATATACTGAATGGTGTTCGCGTATCTTCGTCGTTCTTCTTGGAAGCTAGATCTTGTCCTGATATTTAACCTGAGAAAAAGTTTATCGGAAATTAACGGTGAATGTATAATGGACAATATCAAAAATAAGAGCTGTTTTTATTTTCAGGGATTTCATGCCACCAACTGCTCACAATCATAGTCCCTTTGTAGTTAGAGCTCCTGCAAAGTCACCTGGGTAAGTACTCGACGGACATCCAATTTGTTTTAATTCTCAGAGTGATATTGAATCTAATGTCGAAAGTAATGCGAATAAAATAAATAGAGAAAGTATAAATAAAGTATAATAAATACTTGGACTTAACTGCTCCCTACTCTGTGATTGATCCAGAAAAAGTTGCGCTTTCTATCCAACCAATCAGATGCATAGCTAAACCAATTACAGGTTGGTTACTCGCGTTTTCCCGCGCTTCCAACAGTTTACTTGTTTTACTTTGAGTTTTATTTGGCTCCGTGTGATTTTTCTCCTGGTTCTGATTTGCCATTTTGATTCTTTTGGTTTTGGTTCTCTGACACTCAACTAAAATGCTTTAGGCCCTTTACCAAAATGGAGGCTACAAACTTAAGCCATTATGTAATTATTGTGCAGTGAACAGTTTAAGTAACATCTCCGATGATTTCAGTGGAGTTTCAATTGTCAATGTCAGAATAGTCCTGGAAGGACTGTTGTCTGAGTAGTGAGGGAAGTCTCAATACCCTAAGTGGATGTCATCATCCGAGCCAAGTAAAAAGTGTAATTATTTACATGACATTTTCACTTCCTCCTAAACCACGTTGTTAGTAATGGTGATGATAACTGTGAAGATGAAAAAAATTGATTTCCTTATCATAGCCGACGCCCTGTCCCGACTCGTAGAGCGGTTGGTGCTGCTCCTGAACCGCTCAGTGTGGAAGACAGCACCGATGACGGCTCCAGCTCAGATGATGACAGTTCAGCCATATCTCTTCTGGAGAGGATTAACAGCACAAGCACTTGTGTTGTCTCTTTTCAGGTGTGCTACAGAGATTTTACAAGGCGTTCACACTTTGAAAAATTTGTGCAGGCTTTTGGATCCCAGAATACACTGAACATCGAGCATCAAATAAAAAAAAATCGCGCCAGCGTTGATGAAATTTTGGTCTTAAATATGTTGATCGCAAGCATTGATATTTCAAAATGTGCCTTCTTCAATTAATTGATTGATTGATTGATTGATTGATTGACAGGTTAACAGAATCTAGATATTCGTTGCTGGTGATGATTGACTGTAAGAAGGAAAGAAAGAAGAAAACCATCTAGTTAAACAAACTGCTCATGGAAACCTAATTACTGTGCTAACACTTAGCAATTTTTTTTTCCTCTGGTTAGGAGCTGTTGCCATCTATGCAGGATATATATGGTGTTGGACTGAAGGAACCCAAGGATCGAAGTATGGAGGCTTACCAAAGGTACTTAAGTTAACAGATAATTTGGTTTTATCAAGTTTAAAATGGAAATTGACCGCCGTAAAGAGTTTATTAAACTAACATCGCCCTTCGTCGAGCGAATGACCTGTGAGAATTTGAATTAATTGTAAAATATCTGCAACAAGCGCGAAAATAAGACCTGTGTTTCCATTTGAGTTAATTTCCTGAGTTTTAAATCCATGTTATCGTGATGATTCCTGAATCAGTATCTTTATAAGAAAATCTTAATCAAGGGTTGTTTTTATGCAGGTTTGTTCAATTTGGAAAGACTTCACTACCTGACAAGGAAAATCCTGGAGTGAAACACATCCATTACAATTGGTAAATAATTTACTTACGAACGGTTAACTTATTTTTCACAAATTTTTTTTCTTACGATGTAAACTGCGATGGACGGAAAGAAAACTAATAAACTAATCATCTTGTGTTTTGTTGGTTTAGGGAAGCACACAAACCTTTTGCGTCGGACTGTAATCATAAAGTTAGACTGCCCACAATAGACCGTCCGTCGGAGGCTTTGTACACAGCATACGTTCATGCTGGACAAAATGGTCGCTTTTGGACATCGCCAGTCAGTGTTGACGTTTATAGGAAATACGTCAGTAAGAACTACCAGTGAAATCCAACAAAAAGTTAGGGCGGGTTATTTAAACAAAGTTTAACCGTTGTTTAACAAAACCGTGATCTAAGCCATCTTCAATTTAGCCGAACCTTTTATTCGAACATTTTTTATGTGGACAGTGTCAATAGGGCCGAAAGCTAATTGTGGAAAGACATTTATTTAATTAATTAACCCTCTCATAGGGGATCCCTGAGGCCCACTGATTGCGTAAAACTGCGGTTTGGGTAGGATCTCATCGAAATAACCGGCCCTTACTCCGCAGCCGCTTTCCAAGATGTTACGCAACACCTCGCGTGACATCACTCAGAACGGATGCTAAGGAGACCAACAGATAGCTTGTTTTTGTGCTCTTGATGTTTACAAATTTAAAGATTTTAATAAATGAGTAAATGATTTCGCTTTATGATAACGATCTACCGTAATGAGATTAGATATTGTAGTGTATTGATTATAGAACGCGTGCTCTCGTTTGTCGATTGGTGGGTTAACATGAGAAAAAATAACATGGTTGTGACGTTTAAATCTGTGCACATTTTTGAGAAATAGGTCATAAAAGCATTATAGGACTGTTCTTAGCCTTATCCAAATACGCAACATGAACAAACATTTTCGAAAGTTATGCAAACCCTCGACTGGATCTTGGATTCGCTGAACTTTCTTGAATTCTTCCAACTCCTCTTGCGTTTAGGTGAGGCTATATCAACACGGGAAAGTCCTCTACCATGTCTACTGCTCAATTGTCGATGAATCGACAGTTAAGATAATATTTTTGTTAAGGGATATTAAGGGGAAGCAAGATCAAGGCACTTCTTGAAAATTTCAAAGGTGTGAAATTAAATTAATCAAACCTTTGCATAAATACGAAAAACTGATATTCATGTTTACTGCAATTCTGTCTTCAGCGAACATGGAAAATGTTACAGAGAACATTATCTTACGTATAGACACATGATGGAGATTTAACGAAATAAAAATTTGTAAATCACTAGTTTGTCTGTAAGTTTTTAAAATGTTGGTAAACTTCTAATATAAACAGCAACTAATTAAACGTGATTAGGTTGTTCTTGGTTGCTTTGCTTTATTTTCTTAGTTGCTTTGTAAGTTTTAGTTTGTCTGTAAGTTTTTGATATGTTGGTAAACTTCTAATATAAACAGCAACCAATTAAACGTGATTAAGTTGTTCTTAGTTGCTTTGCTTTGGTGTAGACGTTCCCGCAATGCTGTTGGCCGCGTATGCTAAAAGTAGCTCGTTGTACGTACGGTCGTACAGTCATACTCTACCAAATTTTGATGGGTAACTAGTACTTTTTACAAGTATAGGGCTTCGTGGCGTTTGCACTTGACGCTCGATTTAAGCTCCGCTATTGAAATCATATACGTGCCTCGAATAGGCGAATAAAACAGTTCCTTCGTCTGTAACATGTTTCGTCGACACTGATGCAGATTGGAAAATAGCAGCACCATTTTAACTCGAAATCAGTGTCCATGGAAAAGAAACACTAAAAAAGTACCAGGAAGTTATGGCAAGCCCAAGTTATAGGCTTCTGTAATGACTTAAAAATGCTGTTCAAGCAAAATTTTAAGTTTAAGCTCATTTTAGTTTAGTTTAGAAGATATTTTTGAGACTACAACCCTATTCAACTTTTTCAAGTAGAATATCAGTGGAAAGCAAGGCATCCTATTTCGTTATATGATTGAGTGAATACGACCGAAGAACTGTGTCGATTATTTTGAACTCACCTTTTCAAGTCGTAAAACTCATTTGAATTGCAAATAACTTTCAAAATTGATATTCACGACCGCGCTCGGTCAGCTCAGTCTTGCACGTGCAAAGAGCTTGCAAACTACGACAACTTTTAGCGTCTTTTTCATCTTCTAGGAGTCAAAAAACACGTCATTTCGACCCTATTACCTTGGATACTATCTGTTCTGTCCAGGTCTGCCAGTGTCTTTATGCTGGATCAAGTGGTCTAGATACCATGTCGAGGATTTGTGCTTTTCACATTGTCGCGTCGTTTCTTCAGGTAAATGGAAAAATGTGTGTGGATAGAAAGACAGTGTTCATCTTTCTCGTTGTGGGCATTGTAAAATAAATATATAAAGTTAAATGTGACAAGGAAGAGCGTAATGCACATAGCATTGTGCAGGAAAAATCCTAATTAGCAACCGCCATGACAGCTCTTCTTGAACATGACTTCAGTGACAACGCAAGAAGTTGTTACTACTTGTATATTGTTTGTGTACTTACCGCTTGTTTATTCATTTCTCTTTTCATTTCTGTGCATATTTTTTTCAACTAGCTTTTATGATTATAGCGTTTTGACCTGAAATGCGTTTCAAACGCACTTGTTCTTTCCTTTACCTTCAATCCCAACAGAGAGAGACGGTAATCGAGAAAGCCTAATAACATAGACTCCAGTATCTGTTTATCTGAGAATTGGTTCCCATCTTTCATACAGAGGCCGCGGAGGGTAGTCCTTACCTTAATCTGCATTGTCAGGAAACCTGTAAATTCCCTAATGCCTTTGTTCAGTAAGAGTAAAGGACATGAAATTTGTCAACAAAAAAATTTGGTGGCTATAAATGAGTTTTTTAATTCAGACGTTGACATTTATCATTTAGAACGAATAGCACTCAGGTGCGTAAGTCTTCATAATATATTTGTCTCTTTTTTTTTCTCCATTGGACATTATCAAGAAGAAAATTAGAGCACTACGAAATCAACAACTTCAAGGAAGGAAGGAAATAAATGACAACTCCTAACAAGGTCAGATTACTTCCTTTTTTTGCAAAATATAATTTATCTAGGCCTGTTTGTCTGCGTTTAACGATTTTAACCTACCATGAATACTTTTTATTTGTCTCACCACTGTCAACGAAATATCTCAACATAAAATGCTAAGTAGGGCGTTCATTTGATGACAAATTTCGGTCAACCTAAAGCCTGAATGTCTCGGCTCTTGAGGCAAAACACGATGTCATATTTTGTTTTTCTCCGACTAAGTTATAGAATTTTGTTTTAGATCTTCGATAGGTTATAGTCTGGTAAGTTCTCACTCTTTTACCTCCTTCAATATAGCTCTTGGAGCTTTAAAATTACTGAAAAAAATATCAATATGCTCTTACAATTATCTTTTTTTCCTGAATTCTTTTTGAGATCTCTGACAAGGTTAATAGTCTTACATTTTCTTACAAGAATTAACCTTTTTTCAATTCAAACGGAAAACCCTTGGAGCCTAAGTGTTATGAAGTTAAGTTTTAAACCAAACTAAAAGTGTATACTCCAAAAGTAGATTTTATTGACAAGTTATTCCTGCGTTTTCCGTCCAATTATACAGAGGCTTTTTTTGACATGATTTAATAAAAATCTTCGAGCCTGAGTACTAACACTTTCTGGTGGTATTTTGTGGTGGTATTCTCCAAATTGATTTTTGTGTCGCAAATTGCTTGTTAAATTTAACATCAACTGACACATGAAGCGATTTCAATAAATTTCTTAGCGACTAATTATTTGAAACGTTTGAGCTCGCAGAACTTAAAGCAAATTGGAAAAGTATGTTCCATGAGTTGACCAGTGCTTGTTTCTCAAATTGCTGCTAAGGTTTATCATCAACTGATGCATAATATACGAACCTAATCATTAAAAATGCTTGAGGTCTTAGCTAGGTTTCAACCAAAGTGAACAGTATGTTCAGAAGTTGGTCATTGTCTCTCAAATTGCTAATAGAGTTTGACATCAACTGCGTCTTTGTGATGCGATTCAATCTCCGAACCAATTTTTTTTAATTCTGAGCTCTTGAGGCTTAAACTAACTGAAAGAGTATGCTCAAAAATTGATTTTTTTGTTAACTTCGTTTCGTGCTTTTCAATTCATTTTAGTGTTAGATGTTGGTACAGTCGGCCGGCTTAAAGATACTTTATCGTGAGAAACTAGCAATAATCAAAGATTTGTAAAGTGCGTTCGATCTTTAGTAAAAGTATTTTTCTATTGTACTAATTGCGCAGAAATATTCAAGGAAAGTGGATTGTAGGGTGCTTTCGGTCAGTGTCATAAACCAGTTGCAAAGTTGAAAACAACAATAAGGTATAATAGTTCAACATCTTAGTAATGTACTTGATAGAATGGCAGTGGCCAAAATAACTAGTAGGACAAAATTGAACAAATCGAAAAACGAAAATATGTAATAGCTGGCTGCAATCTTTCCACCTCAAACGACACCTCCAGCGGTAATTTCACGTACACGTGTAACACCGATTCCAAATATGGCGGCGTGTGCACGAAAGCGAGGTTTTCGGTAGCAACTGTTGCTAAGGCAAAAGCTGTTACTCGTTTCTCTGTGCGAGTGCGAGTTGTTTACAATTTGTTGAAGCGTGTTTTTCGAAGATATTCCCACAGCACACATACAGGTACGGAAAGAATTGCTCATCAATCTTTTTTAAAATACTTGGGAGGCATTTCAAGGTCAGTAGACTCATCCCATTTTGTTTGCGAAGCCTTTTGTTATGCAAATGTTCGTAAACGGGCGCCATCGTGAAATTTATATTAGGAGTTCCGAGACAAGAATCGCTTACAATCGCCAGCAGGATCTATATTTTCTGTATTTTCCAAGGATATGCTTGTAAATATACTTAAGCGTAAAAGAAATACGGGTATAGCGACGATTCAAGACATAGTTATGTTATAAATGTTAGCTTTCCTGTCCCATGTGTAGGCCTATGCAAAGGAAATGCGTCAATTGTAATGAATATCGCATTGTCTCATAAACCTTTAAACTTCTAGTAAACTGTGGCTTATGCTGTTTTCCTTTTAGCGTTTTTATATTGAGCAGCGCTTTACCAATTTCTCTTTTGTCGTAATCCCAGTGAAGTATGCCCGATAATTGATGTGTACCGATGTGTTGTAAGACAGGATATCATGTAGATGCAGATGTTAGAAAGGTCACTTACCAATGTCTTTCAATAGAGGATCCATCAAAACTGAAGTTAACTTTTGCTACTTTCTAAAACTATTGTGGTTTTAGTAAAGAAATTCTGATTTTATACAGTTTGTATCTAAATACATACAATACATTATGTTTATAGACCTGGCTTATCGAAATTCGGAGAGATGTTTCGAAGGATTTTCAAATCACCGAACGAACAAAAATATGCGCACTTCACTTTAAGTACTCGCATTTTCGCCGCCATATTTGCAATCGGTGTCTTCAGCTCAAAGCGGCCAAGAAAACATTTACGTATGAGATCGAGGCTATTTGTGCCACACAGCCAGTCCGCCGGTCCAAAATGGCGCCCAATGCCTCAAATCGTATGGTACCACGATCGATCCCCTTAGGACTGATTTATAAAACCCTCGAGAGTGATTTCCGTAAAAACGACACGATTAGTATGCGTTTTCCTTCGTCGAACGCAAATATTTATGGAAAATTTACTTCTTTGGCTTTCTCGTTGAAAATTTGAACAAGAAAGCAGCATTTCTTTTTCATAAGGACTTTTGTAGTAAGAACAAAAAAGTGGCACACGAGGCGCAGCCGAGTGTGTCACTGATGTTCTTACCACATTTTGACGTCCTCTGTGATCTATTACTGAACAGACGCACGGCAACTTGGAATCTATTTGTTAAATAGAACAAAGCTGAGCTAAAGTTGTCACACCATCTGCAAAATTGTACTATGTCCGACCTTCTCCGCGACTTCTCCCTAGTTTTTTTTCATTAATTAAAAGTGAAATTTCGAACAGGCAAGCTCGAAAATAGCAACAGAAGAACCAAACAAAGGTTTGAAAACATGCGAGGCGCCGTAACTGACGTTATTACAACGAGAGCAGAGACGAAAATCTTGAAAGAAATGCGCCGCATCTATTATGTACCTTAGAATAGATTATGTATTTCACTCGGATCAGTCTTTCTAGTTAAATTTTTGCTTGAAGTACCAAGGACATTCACCAGTCAGTCTGCAAATAATAAAAATAAACCATACATGAACAAATGCTGCAAAATTTAAACCTTGTTCTCCCTAGCGAGAATAGCACAGTGTTGTTTAATTGTCTTAGAAACACATTTGATAATGTTAGACGAAAACTATTTATTGTTCAGGGTCGGCCAGGGTTTTTGTGTATTCGGTATTCAGG